AAAWGTGCAAAGCAGTTGTTTGTCCACATGGAAAATCTTTTTTGTTTTTTTTTTTTTAAAGAATTTAACCTTTATTTTTATTTATTTATTTATTTTTATGTGATGCTAGGCAAGCACTCTACCACTGAGCGAAAACCCCAGCCCCTGGAAAATAAATTTTGACCTCACCTTATAAACATAAAAATCAACTGGCAATCATCATAGACTACAGTGTCTGGAAGAAAGGAAAGTGTAGGCACAAGTTTTTAGGGTTTTTGAGACCCTGGTGGGAGGATGATGAGGGTGGGAGAAAATGTTGTGAGCAGGATATGGAAAAACAAAACAAAACAAAATCTAATCCTTTACTCACCCCTAAAACATCCCTGATAATTAGATTTCACAGAAATAATTCTGCTCATCAAAAGACACCATTAAGCTGGGCAAAGTGGTGCACACCTGTAATCCCAGTGGCTCAGGAGGCTGAGACAGGAGGATCATGAGTTCAAAGCCAGCCTCAGCAAAAAGTGAGGCGCTAAGCAACTCAGTAAGACCCTATCTCTAAATAAAATACAAAATAGGGCTGGGGCTGTAGCTTAGTGATCAAGTGCCCCTGAATTCAATCCTCAGTATTGCCCACAAAAAATAAAATATAAAAAGGGCTGGGGATGTGGCTCAATGGTTAAGCGCCCCTGGGTTCAATCCCTAGTACAAAAATAAATAAATRAATAACTTAAAAAGAGGGATTGGGGTTGTGGCTCAGTGGTAAAGCACTTGCCTAGCAAGTATGAGGCACTGGGTTCGATCCTCAGCACCACATTAAAAATAAAAATAAAGGTACTGGGTCCATCTATAACTAAAAAATATTTTTWAAAAAACTTTAAAAGACACCATTAAGAGATTAAACAAGCTGGGGAGTGAAACTCAGTGGTAGAATGCTTGCCAAACWTGGGAGAGTCCCCAACTCTGCAAAAGGTGGGGCGGGAGCCAGGTGCAATCGCACACACCTGTAATTCCAGAGGCTAGGGAGGCTAAGGCAGGAGGATCACAAGTTCAAAGCCAACCTCAGCAACTTATTGAGGCCCTGAGCAACCTAGTGAGAGCCCATCTCAAAATTAAAAAATAAATAAATAAAAAGGACTAGGGGTGTGGCTCAGTGGTTAAGAGCCCAGGTTCAATCCCTAGTGCCCCCCCCCAAAAAAAAGGTGGGGCAGTGTGTGGGGGTAGAGGGAGGGAGGGAGGGAGGGAGGGAGGGAGGGAGGGAGAGAGAGAGGGAAGAAGAGAGAGAGACTGACTAAATAGGCAAACATGTACTTGGCAAAGGATTCCTATCCAGAATATGCTAGGAACTAAAACTCATTAACAAAAAAACTACCCCAGTTTAAAAATTGGCAACATATTTGAACAAGTATGTCACAAAAAAACCTGAATGACCAATAAAGTTAAAAATGTTCAACATTATTAATGTTCATGGAAATACAAACCAACCTACCTTAAAGACCATAAATTCAGTTCCTTGATGTATACAGGTTAAGTGTATCTATCCCTTACTCAAAATGCTTGGTACATGAAGTGTCTGGGTTTTTTTTTAATTTTGAAATATTTGCATATACATAATGAGATATATTGAGGATGAGACCTAACTCTAAATGTGAAATTCATTTATGTTTCGTATGTACTTTATTTACACAGCTTGAAGATTATTTATACAATAATTTTAGTACACCTCCATTTTGGCCAGAACCCATCACATGAGGTCAGATCTGGAATTTTCCACTTGTGGCATCATAAAAGTTTGCTCAAAAAGTTTGGCATTTGGATATTTCAGAAAGATTTTGGGTTCTCAGATTAGGGATACTCAACCTATACCCAATATATGTTCACCAATGGAAATTTTAAGAACATTTGTAGCAATTAATAATGACCCAACATTGAAAAAACTCAAATGCTCACTAATAAGAGTATGGATAAATTGTTAGTTTAGCCATATAATGTGCTCCTATAGAAGATGGTAAGCAAACTTTTTCTGTAAATGGCCAGATAGGAAATAAAAATAATGATTGAACTCTGCTGAACAGGCATGGCTATGTTCCTGTGAAGTTTTATATATGAAAATATGAAGAGGRTTGGCACTGGCTCAGAGGTTGTTGTGCCAACCCTTGATATAAGCGGGGTGAGGGGGAAGCAAACAAAATGGCTTCTATGTGTAACATGAATGGGCCTCAAAAGTACACTATGAATAAAAGAATAAAATATATGATTCCAATTATATGAAATTTAAGAACATGTGAAAATTATTCACGGCAATTGAAATCAGGACAGCAGTTGATTGCGGGAGGCAAATGTTTGGCTCTATCAATGGAAAGGCACACAGGGAACTTTTGCAAGGATAAAAATGTTTAATGTCTTTATCTGGGTGGTGATCGCACGGGTGTATGTAAATTTCATTAAGCCACACACTTTAKTTTAATATTTTATTGTACACATAGTTCAACCTGGAAAGAAATGCAAATTAKCCAAAGATTGGAACATGGGTTGAAGAGTATTCATTAGAATTAAAAATGGATTAAAATTTTATTTGTATATACACATGTACTAGATTAAAAACATAAATGTTAAATCTGAGAAAGTCTAATGCAAGTAAAATCATAGTTCTTAATAAAGAAAGAATAGAAATAAAGAATAATATTTTATAGAACTGATGAAAGGCAAACATTAAAAATAGATACAAGTAACATACATATGTATACATATTTATACATATATATGTATGTACACAAATACATACCTTGTCCCAAAAGGTCTTGAGTATGCATTCTTCTGGATCATATAAGGAGTAATTGATACCACAAAGCAACTTTTCTCATATTTCATACAATTAATAGCATAGACAAATTTCCTATCATGCAAATTAGAAATCAGTAACCAAAGAATAGCTCAGAAACTATCCACACTGGAACTAGAGACTACTTTTTAAAATCTCAAAGAAAAAAAAGGCACGATGGAAAACATTTTTAATTCTTAAAACTGAATAATTTACTATATATGAAGCAGCAATAAGTGAAAATCTGTCATATTTTCARATAACCCGTAAGTAGAGCCCAGAAATAAGACAAAACGTGTCTGGGTATTGTACATGACAGAGTGGTGCTGCAAATTACTGGCACTGGGACAATTACCTTTCCATATGTGAAAAAAACAATCAATCTTGAATTTACAAGATGATCAAAATATATACATCTATACACACATGTACATGCACGCCTCACATACAGAACTAAGTGAACAAAATACAAACTTTAACATCTTTAGAAAGAATTTGAAGAATATGTTTAAAAGCAGGGAAGTTTTAAGATATAAAAAGCATAAGGAAAAAATTAATGCCTACAGTTTATTGTCTGCAAGTTTATACAAACAGAACAGGGTCTGCATCTAGAATCATGTTTTCCAATAGAAATTTCTGCAGTGTTGTAAATATTATTTTCTAAGATATAATACATTATAATATAACAATAAAATATAAAAGTCATCTGTCACTGTTGAGAAACACAAATGTGGAATTGAGCGACTGAGGAATTGAAATCAGTAAAGTAATATGACGCTATGTAAGCACTTTTAAATCCTGAGTGACGGACTATAAAGTATGTTCTTATTTTTTTTCAGCATTTATTTTTTCCATAACAGAATCTGATTTTAGCTTGAATTCCTAAATAAAATATAATCCCAATTTTGTACAAAATATGTAAAAGTGGCTTTTTAAAAGGACAGCATGCCAAGTGATTTTGACTTTCTTCTAAGTGCTTTTTAAAATATAATAAGCTACTTTAGGTATAAAAACAACTTAATGAATACAGATATGGCCACCAGAGAAATTATGAAATAAAACATTACCAATATGAAGTTCCCTAGGTACTTCTACCTGATCAAGACTTTACATAAGATGGAAAACATGATTAATAGACTTAGAGACCTGGATTCAATCTTCTTCATTTTGTAACATGTATAGTTTAATATATTTGGTGGAAGTTTAACATATAAACCTCTTTATCACTTAACAAGGAGTTATAAAGTAAACACTGGTATAATCATCGCCCAGGTCACGGCCAAGGAGGTAAGGCATTTACAGCATGACCGAGCCTGTGGTATGTTCCTACACACACACACACACACACACACACACACACACACACACACGCGAGCGCCCTCTCCAGGAGCTGACCACTAGCCTTTTATGCTATTAATGGTATTCATTTACATTACCACTTCTAATGTCTACGTGCACATCCCTAAACAATAGGCTTGCTTTGCCACGATCTGAATTTTACATAAATGATACCATACAGTATTCTTTGTTAACTTTTTTTTTTTTTTGGCTCAACACTGAAACGTGCCTGTGTTGAAGCAAAACTGTTTCATTYGCAGCTGTACCGCGTTCTGTTTCATGGCCAGCGCGCAATTTACATTTCTCCTTCAGATGGAAAAGAAGGCTGCTTCCATCTTTTGGCACTATAGTAAACCTTGTACACATCCTCTTGTGTTWTATATATGAAAATTTATCTAGGGCAGTGGCTTTCAAACTTTTTTGACCATGACTCATACTAAGAAATGACGTTTTACATCAGTACACACATCTGTGTGTGTATAAAACTGGCGGGGCGGGGCGGGGGGGGGCGAGGGGGGGAATCATAAAGCAAATTCTCTATGACCTGAGACATTCTGACATTTTCTATTATCTGGTAGGTCGTGTTTAACAAATTCAAGTTCATTATCCACTTAAATAATTCCACGACCCACAAACATGGGCTTCAGATTCTCAAAAACATTGTTTTAGAGGATGAATACCCAGGCGCGGGACTGCTGGGTCGGGCGTCGCTGACATCAATGTTTTCAACTTTTTCTGATCTTTAACTTTAAATAAACGTTCTTATCTCAGAGCATTTGAATTTACTATTTCAGAGCAAAAACCACGAAATATCATAACACTTTATCTTTTCATTCGTCATAAACTTATATCAATCACTTACCAAGTGCTGAGCCAGCGACCACTGGATTCCCAGCAAGACAGACGGGTTAATACGCGGAGGCAGGGGGYGCAGAGGGGAGAACTTCAGGGACCCGGACCTCGGGGAGACCCAGAAAGATCACAGGAGGGGCCTCSGATCCTGCCTGGGCAGGAGAGGTTACAGGAGGTTTCCTGGAAAAAGGAGGACCTAAGTTGGGATTTCTAATTTTTATTGGTTTCCTAAAACATACAAGTAACACATTTGTTGGAAAAAATATCCTCCGAAATTCCATAAGTTTAGTTCGGTATAAAGTACAAATCTCCACTACGGTCCTTAAAATTGGACGCAGAGACTAAATAACCTTAGTTGCATTACCAATTATCCCACTCCAGGAAATTTTCAGGAGTCCACGTTTTAAAAAATAGTTTCGTGAACACCACTGATAAAGAGTCCGTAACATAAACGCATCCAAAATAACATTTCCCATCAAGGGTGAAAATGCACACATCTACGGTTTGACCACACGATGACTTTTTAACAGACTTCACCCCGTCTCTCTTGGCCTTTTGGCGAGCCCCGCATGCCAGGTCTTAAACATCGAGTCTATTTGCCGCAGACCAAATACCTGCGAACGTGTCAGTCATGGGCATGAAAACGGACCAGGCGATAGCATTTTTGCCCCTGCCACCCCGGCGCACCGGGTGACAATCTGTCGGAGTTTCGCACTTCGCCSGAGCAGCCCGGGACCCCGTCACGTCCGCGGCACGTCGCCACGGCACACCCTCCCCAGCGCGGCAGCAGCGAAGCCCAGCGCTGCCCGCAGCGCGGCAATGCCGCCGCCAGCCGCCCACCACCCAGGCCCGCGCCGCCCCGCGGCTGCGAGCACCCGGCACCTACCCTGCGGGGCGCGAAGCCCCCCGGAACTCAGGCGAGGCTGCTCGAACGYGCCGCCTCCGCGGCCATGACTGCGATCGGGGAAGCGCCCCGCGCGCCACGGGCCGCGCTCCACTGTGCAGGGAGCGCGGCTGCTGCGTCCGACCGCTTGCTCGCCCGCCAGGAGAGTGAGGCCGGAGTACGCCCCAGACGCGTCTAAATCAAGGCTTGGGGCGTTCCCAACGGGCTGAATGACAAATGGCAGATGCCGTGGGCTTGCCGCCCGCGGCAGCCAAGAGGATGGCTTAGCTGAGGAGGCCGTGCACAGGCGGAGCCCGGGAGCCGGAACAGCGCGTCCGCTAGGAGGGCGCTGGGGCCCCTGGCGGGGGCGTCACGTGGCAGGAGGAGGCCCCGCTCGAGAGCCGGGGGGTCGGCTGCCGGGGGCGGAGGAAGAGGACAGGCGCCCAGACGCCTGGCCGATTGAGTCATCGGTGTGGGCAAAGCCAAGGTCGCCCAGGTGCAGAGCTGGCGCAGGTAGACCCGACTCAGCCCGAAGCCCCCCTACCACAGACTGTTCACTTAAGTCACCACCAGACTGAGTCGCCCTGAGCCAAATCATAAACGAAAAATACCACAGATGCTAGAAGCATGTTGAGATAGGCTGAACCAACTTATCTCCTATGCGTGCAGCGTTGAAGTTTGGGCAGCCTCGATTTCACCGCTGCTGGCGAGCCCCGCACTGTCCTAAGCACCCCATAGGTAAAGACACTGAATCCTCACGCCAACCCTCGGAGAACCACCGTTATTCCCTTCGGACAGCTGACGAAAGGAAGACCCTGAAAGACTAGACAGAAGTAACATTGCAATTGTGGACTCACAGTGTGTATACTTCAAGTAATTTAAAATGTTTTAAATGTTACTCGGGTTTAAGAGAAAGCTACAGCGACGTTCGAGCAATCGCTTTTTCCCCTTGCAATTCGTACATTCCTAAAAGAGGCCCATGCACATTCAGTAAAGACTAAAGTACAAGGAAGAGTTTCTATGTGTTTCGTTTCAGACGGTCTCATAGCTCTAAGAGATGAGATTGATTAGCAGCTTAAACGTCCACCTACTGTCACCCGCAGCCTCTCAATTTCTATTGCTTGTATTACTTTAGGTTTATTAGCAATTAGAGCATTTACAAAGGCTCTGCAGCTTTATTCTCCTAGACATTCGGTCTTAAATCCACATTTAAATAAATTTGAGATTCACCATAACTTACCCATTCCTGAATTCTTTATTTTTATCTAGTATCTGATGGACTACCTTCTTTTCCAAGCCATTTTCTTAATGAGGGCTTATAGGTTACCTTAATATCTGAGAGAACATGTTTTTTCTCTATGAGTAAGTAAAAACTGAGCTAGGTAAATACTTTGAATACACGGCTTCTTTCAAAACCTAATAGAAAAAGAAGGCAATTGCTTCACTGATTTTTAACATGAATGATTTCTGCCGAGAAATCAGAATCCTATGTAACCTTTGCCCTGATGGTGACGAAGAATTCATCATTTTAAATACTGTTAGTATCCTTACCTGGGCTATGACTCAGTGCTATTTACTCTATAACAGTTTTCCCCTCGCATATAGTACGATCTTTCAATTTTTAGATTCCATTCATAGTACATAGCTCAATCGGCTTCAGTTTGAGGGATGAGTGTTGTTTCTGCCTACTTTTTTTTTTTTTTTAAACTGAAGGATTTCAGACAWGGAGTAGGAGGAAGGGGGTGTGTGGAATTCAGCCTAGACTAGTGCAGAGCCTTCAGGGGAATTCAGCCATTGCTGCTTTAAGTCCTGAGTGTCCTCCTCAGCCCCTGCATGCTGGGAGCAGYCCTTGTCTGCTTCATGTGCTCAGTGTAGCAGGGAACTCCAGAACATGGCACCCTCTTCTCTCTCTGGCAAGCCCCAACAGTGGTGTGGGCATTTCATGGGGATCCCACTCACTCCTTTCCCAAGTGAAGGGTGTTTGTGAGAATTCTCAGGATTGGTCTGATCATCTTTTTCCTCGACATGTCTTACAGGGCTGGGAGGAGGACTTGGGTGGGGACGCGCACAGCGGAGCCATACTTCATCAGCACTCTTGCTTCGCCATCACCCCTCAAATTTTAGGTTAAGTTTATATATGTATTTTTTCCCTTTGGTTTGTAGCAGGTGAGGGTTTGCTTTTTGACTTGTTTTTGTTTTTCTGCTTTCTTTCAGATGGTTTAGAGATTTTTTAAAAATGCTTCCTTATGCCGCATATATCCAGAAGTCTGTCCCTTCCTCCCTCCTTCCTGCCCCCCATAGGTAATATACTATATGAAAATCCCTTTCATCTCTTTTCCCACAATTCTCTTTGAACACAAGTTGTTGCCTTGTAGCTGACACGTTCCTTACCCCTAAGCCTCTCCTCAGGGACACAGGCTTCAACATTACAATGTATTCCAACAAGATTCTAAAATACAGGCTGCAAACTCAAATCTCTATAAAGTCTAAATCAATGAGGAATAACAGGACTACGATACAGTGATAGAGCAACCTTGCTTAAAGGGCAAGTGGTGTACAGGTCACACCAATGGCTGCCCTGTGGGAGATCACAGCACAGTCACCAAATCTATATAATTGTCAAGAGAAGTATGAGATCTAATATGAAATCTCCTAATTTTGGAAACACTACATTGAAATGAAGTATCTCTCAAGGTCAAAGTGAACCTAAGGGCTCCCAGTGTGTGTCTATTGTAGAGAGAATCACTGAGGAAAAAAATTCTATTATCATTCTTTTTTCCCTTCTAACTATTTTGAGGTACAGGTCCTCTGTACCCCCAACTCAATGACTTCTTAAAATTTTGTTATCAAATAAAGAACAAGATGATTGATGCAGACAAAATTATAATTTGATACAATGTGTCAGGACCCAACACATTCAGGAACAGTTTTCACCAGGAGGAACAGCTATGATGAGGCTAAAATTTAAACACATTAACAAAATAATGGGTGTTTGATAAACAAAAAACAAGGAATAGAATGGAACTTCTTCTGCCTGATAATGGGTTTGTTTGCTTTCTATAGCTGATAAAATAGATTCCCACAAATTGGTGGCTTCAAACAAGAAGATTTTCTCAGCTCCAGAGGACTGAAGTCTGAAATCAAGGTTTCAGCAAAGGCCACGAGTGCCCTCTAGTGGCCACAGAGGAGAATCTTTCCACCATTCTTTCAGCTTTAGGTGGCTGTTGGCATTCCTCGACTTCTGTGGCTTATTATACCCACAATGTTCCAATCTCTGCCTCTGTGTTCATATCATCTACTCCTCTACGTGTCTATCTTGTGAGGACACCTGTCATTGTATATAGGATCCACCTAAACAACACGGTGATCTCATTGCACAATCCTCAGCCTAATTGCACCTGCAAAGACCTATTCATTTATCTCTTCAAATAAAGTTAACAGTCACAGATTCCAGAGGTTAGGACATAAGACTTATCTTTTGTGGGGTCATTTTTAAATCTTCTTCAACAGATAAAATCCATGTCAGCTTTGTGGCAGAAATTGAAAAGCTAATTCTAAAATTTGTATGGAAATGAAAAGTACCTAGAAAAGAAAAAATAATTTTAAAAGTTGGAAGGCTCATGCCACATGATTTTAAGGTCTACTCTAAAGCTAGAATAATTAGGACAGTCTGGTGCTGCCCTATGTAAACACGGAACAGTATACTGAGTCCAAAAGTACACCCACAAGTTATTCTTGACAGAGGTGCAAATAATTCAACTAGGAACATGAATAATTACTTAGAAACTGGTTGTCTATATGGAGAAAAAACTTCTACCTGCATTTCACACTACACCCGAAAATGAAGTCAAATTAGAACACAGACCTAACTAAAAAAATAAATAAACAAACAGAAAAATAGGAAACATCTTGAACTTGCCCTATTCAATACACTAGCCATGTATAACTATGGAATACCTGAACTGTGGGTAGTCCAAACTGAAAGATGCTATAGGTAAAAAATATATAGTCTGGCTTTCAAAAACTCGGGATAAAAATAAGAATGTAAACTATCTCATTTTTATATTGATTACATGTTGAAATAATATTTTTGTCATTGGTTTAAATGAAATATATGGTTTCAAATTAACTGGAGCTACTTTTACTTTTTTAATGTSGCTGCTATAAAATTTTAAATTACATATATGACTCACATGATATTTCTGTTTGACAACATTGTTCTGGAAGAAAACCTAGGGATAGACAAAGATTGATTGGCAGGATACACAAAGCAATGATCATAAAATAAGTTGGTAATTGGATTTACTAAATATAAAACCCTCTATTCTTCATGGAAAACCATTAAGGAAATTAAAATTCAAGCCACATACTGGGATAAAATATTTCATGTATATGTAGATCTGACATAGGACTTTTATCAGAACATTTGAAGAACTCAAAATAATTATGATAAACAGTGCAATTTTAAAATGGGCAGAACGCTTGAAAAAGATTTTACCAAAAAATAGATATCCAATGAGCACATGATTAAGATTTAACATCGCTTTGCTAATGACTAATGAAAATTAAAAAGACAATGAAATACCACTGCGTACCCACTGGTATAGCTATAATTAAAAAAACAATACCAAAGGTTGGAAAAATTGGAAATCTCACACATTCATGAAGGGAAAATAAATTGATAGTTTGAAAGTTTTTTTTATAAGCATATAAATAACCCATCAATTTCACTCTTAGTATTTATCCAAGAGAAATAACATGTCTATGCAAAGTCACAAAAACATTCATATTAGTCACAAACCAGAAACAACCCAAACATCAGTAATAATGTGAGCAAACTACTGATAGTGTCGACAACATAAATCTAAAATGCATTGTGCAGAGTCAAAGAAACCATCCATAAAAGGTGACATACTATTTGATCACACTTGCATAAAATTTTAGGAGGACAGATCTCATCTAAGCCACAAAAAGCAAGTCAGTGGTTTCCTAAGGTGGATGCAGAAGAATCATGATGGAACTTTGTGGAGTGATGGAAATGTTCCATATTTTGATTGGTGAGAAAATTACATGGGTCTATACATTTGTCATACAGTCATACATGAAATAAAATGTCTATATTTTAAGTGTAAATTAAACCTCAACAAAGTT